GAGCCATTGTCGTGAAAGTTTGTGTTTGTGTTTTGCAAAGCCATTTGAAAGCAGTACATTATCTAGAGAGAAAGAGATAATAAAATGCAGAAAAACAACAAAACAAGAAGAGAAGAAAACACTGCTCTGATACCACTTGTTGGTCCCGTTAGGGTCTACAAGAGTTTTATAGAAACAGTTTGTAGAAGGGGGATGAATACAAACATAGAGAACTTTTAAATTTAAAAATATATATTGATAAAGAAAGATCAATATATATTTTTACAAGATTGTATGCGGAAATAGATAAGGTAAAGAAAAACCTATCTAAAACAATTTAAGTTTACACATATATATTCTTAGCAAAGTGAAAAGATTTACTGAAATATAAAGAAGAAACTAAGTTCTTTCTGGGTAAGAACTTTTAGAATACTTAAGAGGGATTCTAACTTGCTTGAAGATAAGCGTGAATGTTCTTAGATGTGTGTGTGTGTGTGTGTGTTCTTTCACGTATACACGTAAGGATTAGTAGTGTCTCTGCATAAAGAGAGCACACATCTATTTATACCTATTGCATTAAATGCATATTTAATGCAATGCAGTAGGGTTTGAACACGTGTCAAGTTTTTAGAGAAAAGTTTGTCCTTTGCTACAGTGAATAGTACAAAAGCCTATTCATGAGAAGACATCCTTTCGTGGAGTTGGTGGGTAATAGAGTCAACTAGTCGGCTTCATACCATACTACACTCTAGAAAGGGTATGGGTTTGTTCTTTGTGTGTGGAAGAACAAGACAAAAGCAATCTTGCACAACAAGCTTCATTTGATCACTAAATGTTGGAATAACGCTTAAGGTCTCTTCAGCATTGGCTAAGGCTTGGGCAGTCATCACACATATGTTGACCAGGTTGTAATCACTGAATGCCACTTCAGATCACGAACGTGCCAGTCACTAATCTTTAGTTTCAGTCTTTGACTTTCACTGAAGGTTCTTTGATGTGAGTTTTGTCTTCTGGAAGTATCGCTGTCGCTGTAGGATTTACAATACATGTTTCAACGATCACTGAACAGAATCAGTGACGATCATTGGAACTGAAAGACAAAAATATAATACTTCGAAATAGGTAAAAATGGATTATCATCAAATCAATGAAAGAGAGGATCAACAGAAGTGCAAGTTGACAACTTGCAAGCTTCATCAACAGCTATGCATCAAAAAATATTGTGAAGATTCCCCCCACCGTCCATACTTAATCTACTTGCCCCACTTGATCAAAAAAGGCGGTTGCCTCAAAACTTAAATCCCAAGCTGCTGCAATGCGCTGCAGCACTTCCTACAACATCCTTCTTGCAATTAAGCAATCAACCCAAAAAATTAGTGTTAAAACCAAGTACTTACGATCATATTTTCTACTTATCATATCTTTAAGCAAGACAAGATTTAGAACCAAGAATACTTGACATTTGGACTTTTTTGGGGAATTAAAGTAACCGAGAACTACTAAAAATTTATGGGAAACATCAACTAAAATGATGCTTATCAAACAGATGGACTCCCTACGAAGACCAATTCCTGAAAAGAACAAGGAACCTATACTAAATGAAAATATTCATAGGTACTTGTACCTAATCGCGATGAAACAAGTCTATATGCAATTGAATCTCCACCCTCAAGTGAGAGAGCATATCAGACAGAGTTTCATCAAGCAACACACACAAGCAAGGAACTTAGCCTACTCAAAGATGGGATAAAGATGGTCCTGGATATCAAGAGAAGAGTATTTGCCAACAATCAGATCGTCTATTCGGAATACATGGTAGAAAGAGCTTATGGTCAAATATACATATTCAATGACAATGATCTTCTAAACCTTAATCCTTATGACCTTAACTCCTTGTTTTGGTTCAAATAGTAGAAAAGAGACAAGGGGATGATATTTGCAGTCGCCAAAAGCTGAATCAAAGAGGCAATAAGGGAGCTGGTTAGATACGGGAGTAAGGTGGACTTCCAAATAGCCTTGGAACTAGGGATAGAGAAATTCTCTGTTATAGCACTAGGCAAATCTCTTGGTAATCTACATAAAGTTGATTCTGAATACATAATCATTGAACTAGAGTTTGACTTCATCTACAGAGTTGAGCATACAGACAAGTTGTTCTTTAGGGTGTCCAAAAGCTTCAAGTACTCCTAAAAAACTCTAAGATGGTTGCAGCAAGAGATTCATAAACGAATTAGAAGAGAGTCTGTACCGAGAGAACCTGCCACTGAAGTGATCTGATGCATACAAAAGACAATAGATTTCAAGCACCTTATCAAGAATTATCACAAAGTTTATACCAATGATCCTTCACTGTTTAGCTAGATGTTTTGTAAATATTTGTCCTTGTACTATTTGAATTCTAGCAAATGGAACCCTTTACAGAGGACCATGTTGGCCTCTTGCTTTTTAGTGTAGTTTTTTTTTTAAATCTCTTTTTACAACACCTAGGTTGAGATTGTTAGAATTATTTTTTGTTGTGAAAGTCTTGTAAAAAGAAATCAAGTCCTCAACCATATGACTTCTGCACAAGAAGCTGATGAAACAAAGGCCATAACCAAAATGATCACAGATACAGAGTTACTCGTAAGAAAACAAAGACTTGAAGATGCAGAGCATTTGGTCCTACTATACAAAGCCTTTAGTTCTGCTATGCAGAGCCTCTACATTATGTATGCAGAGCATCTGCTTCAACCTTGTAAGGTTTTCCCAAGTGCTCAACCAAAGATCTCTCGAGAGCCCTTGCTATCATAATCTGACACGAATACAAGAAGCAGTTATTTCCCTTTTACACATGGAGATCATCTATTGGTGAAAGTGTTGACTTTCCTTTTCTAGGCTATAAATAAGAGTTTCTTTCTAGAGTTTTAGTATGCTTTTTGAATAGAATTATCATCTTTGTACTTGAAAATAGATTTTAGCATTCTGAATGATTTTTCATACACACTACTTTGTGTTCATGGTGTAATTCTCTCATCTCAGTTTGCCAATCAATACACATGATGATTATGGTTATCTTGCTATTGTTTATATTTTCTCCTTTGATATTTATCATCTCTTAGTCTGGAACAGTAATTAGTGCTTTGTTGCTTTAGGTTATATTAACTTTTAGCACTTAATTACTTGAATTGAGGATTTGAGTTCCTACATTGGTATCAGATCCATCTAGTCAATCTAATGATTAGATCCATCCAATTTGTTAAGGATAATTCCTCATTCAATAGACTATTTTCTTCTCAGAATTAATTTTTCATTCTAAAACCCTGTTTGACCAGTTCACTATTCTTAAATTTCTTGTAATTTTTCTCGATTCTTAGAAGAATTTGTCCATTGATTTCTATTCTCTACAAGTTTTCACAGTCAATTTCAACTAATTTCTCATTTCAAGTTCAATTTGATTTCATTTTCTCTGATCCCTGTTTTTTTGCAAAATGACAAATCTTGCATGGAATGCTACTTATAGCGCCGAATCTTTAACAAAACCACCAACTTTTCTCTGGGATGAATATCCTCAATGCAAAATCTGGATGATAAACTTTTATAAAGGTTTAGACAAGGAATTATATCTCTCTGTGAAGAATGGACGTATGTTCCAATGGTTACCATTCCTCATGGTCCTGCTACTCAGACTACGATTGAGATCCCTGCACGAAGAGTCCCTAAGGAACAAGATGAATGGAATGATGATGGTATGCTCGGAATTGAGGTTGATCAAGAGGTCAAAAGGTTGTCAATCATGGCCATTCCCAATGAGATATTTCAATCTTTAGATGGTTGTGAAACGACCAAATAGATCTTTGATCAATTGGCAAATCAATTAGAAGGTGGAGTCAAGACATGAAAAAACTGAAAAGCATAATGTCTAATTGAATACAATATTTTTGTTGCACTACTAGAAGAAACTCTGGAGCAAACTTATCACAGATTCAACACCTTGATCACCATGTGTCGAAAAAATGTGAAGTGATTCTTACACAGGAAGAAAACAACATGCTCTTTTTTGAAAAGTTTGAATGAAGAATGGCTACAATTGTCTATGTCTCTACAAGCGAAACAATACCTAGATTTTAGCATTGTCATCTGTGTACTTGAAAGAGATTTTAGCATTCTGAGTGATTTTTCACACACACTACTTTATGTTCTTGGTGTAATGCTATAATCTCAGTTTGCCAATCAATACACATGATGACTATAGTGATCTTACTACTGTTCGTATTTTCTTCTTCATGTTCATCATCTTTTACTCTGTTAGAATAATTAGTGCTTCGTTGCTTCCGCTGGCATTACCTTTCAGCACTTAGTTATTTGAATTGAGGATCTGGATTCTTACAAGAACATTTCATAAAGTATTTAAGGGTAAGTCAAGACTTTTTGTTAAATTTGTTAACTATATGATAAATGGATACGGAACTTTCATTAAATTTAACAAAAAGATTGTTATCGGTTCATCCCAAATTATCAACTTGAGCCGACCTAATTGACGACATGACAATTCTCATCTCTGTCCTACATGGAACAAGACAATGTTACCGAATCTCGGTGAGTTTCGCACACTTTTAATTCCGTATCTTCGAACTCAAATTTCTTATTGAATTTTCTGAGCATATATATCATATTCAGTAACTACAAATATTTTCCTATACTCAATGTTAAAGATATGTTGTTGTTTCAATTATCAAGCCAACATTACTTGATTGTAAAAGTAATCATCGGAATAATCCAAATCTCTAAGTATATAAACGCAAATCCATGCATTTATTTATGTAGATACTTGTAAAAAAAATCTTTCAGAATTGTCGATTTTTTAAATAACGAAAAACAACTAAAATTGATATATTTAAAAAGTAACATATGGTAATAGAAAATGACCTAATTGTAAAAGTTAAAATGAAAACAAGTAATCCAGTGACGGAAAACAAACTAAGATAAACAGATGATAAAGAAAAGTGGTAGAAAATGAAAAGCAACAAAGGAGAGGTAAGTTACACCCAAATATAGAATAATTTAACAACTGATAGATAAGGACACACTACAAAAGCCGATCAACAAATTCTTCGGAAATGGATAACATTAAATCAAATACAAACAAAAGTTGATACAACATAGAATTATAAATCTCGGATACAACATAGGATGTGAGAAGCTTTTAACCTCTTATTTATACAAGGTATCCAAGTGTAATTTAATCAAACTTTGGGCCTTGAATGTGGCTACTCTAAGAACGTGCCTCAAAAGGGTACCTCTCTAAGCAATCAAGCCAAGGGTTGTTGCTTGTAGGTTTTTTAATGCGACGAACCGATTTCCACACCGCACTATTGCATTTAAACCCCGACCCGAACGATAGCTGCCAAATACGATCACCACGTTTCACGAGTCCTTTTGCCTCGAGATACGCGAGCTCGTACCAGATGCTGCTGCTCGAGGTATTCCCGAAGCGGTGGAGGGTGGCTCGAGACGGCTCCACATTAGCATCGCTGAGGCCGAGGTTACGTTGGAGCTCGTTGACGACTGTCTTACTAGCAGCATGGACACAGAAATGTTCGAATGCCAGCTTGTAGTCAGGGATGTAGGGCTTGGTCCCAGAGGAGGAAGAAGGCGCTACGGTCTGCAAGCCGTTGGTGGTTGTAGCAATGCCTTTGGAACCAGATAGGTACCGCTTCACGAGGGTCGCGAAGAAAAGAATTTGCTCGGATAATGGCAAGACAAGGGGACCTAGAGTCGTGATGTTGGTCTTGAGAGCGTCGCCACCTATCTCGACCAGATCTTTGCTGATCCGCAACCCTTTAAACCGTTGTTCGTCTTCCTCTTGATACACACTCCTGTCAAGTAAACCTTAAATACTAGATTTAAAATTATTTATTTTTAAATTCTATTGATAAATCTTTTAATTTGCTTGATATTGTAACTAATGATATGATGGTTAATTTCTGAAATAAGAAAAATGAGGTAAAAGACTACCTAAAGTATCGGTCATCAGCTCCTTTATGTGTACGAACGATGTGCTCAAGTCTGTACTTGGCGCGGCGGTAGTCACGGCCGCGATTGGAAAGTAACACGGCGGAGCAACCCATCCTGATATAACAGTTTGGGATGAGCATAGACCGATCTCGGCCAGGATACCAGTTGTACCCTACCATCTCCGTGCTAACCACCACCGCAACATTGTTGGGATTTGCCTGAAGCATGTCACGCGCCAAATCGACGGCTATAATTCCGGCACTGCACCCCATCCCGCCCAGATTGAAGCTCAAAATGTTTCCCCTCATTTTATAGTGATTGATGATCATAGCAGACAGCGATGGCGTTGGGTTGAAGATGCTGCAGTTTACGACCAGTACTCCGACGTCCTTTGGACGGATCCGCGTCTTCTTGAAGAGTTCGTCTAGTGCTCCGAATATCACCATTGAGGCCTCTGCCCTCCCTTCTTTCATGGTGGAGATGTTTTCCGGTGACATTATGGCTTTCGGAACGTAGGTCTCATCGCCGATACCCGACGACTGAAGCATCTTCTTCTGGAATTCAAGGCTATCTTCGTCAAATTTCCCAGATCTTCTTGCGAGCTCGATGAATTCCTCCTTCGTTACCTGAAATTTAAATATATAAGAATTTTCATAACGATTCTTTGTCATAGAAACTAACAAATCTGGTTCAACTGACCTTCAAATCGTCGGTGGGTTTGAAACAGGCGAAATCAATGAGATAGATAGATCGAGGGCGAGACATGAAATAAACGGAGAGAGTGAAGACGAAAACAGCAAAAAAAGCAAGAACAGTAGCCAGGTCATATCCGGCGGTGCTGTCCCAGAGCTTCCGCCATAGCTCCTCCCGGCTGAGATTTCCGATCTCAGCACTAAACACCAGAACCAGCACCGGAACGGTGGCTAAGTAGATGGCATGGTTGATTAGATAATGATAACCTAGCTTCACATATTTGAGATTCACAGACTGGACAAAATCCGGCAACCGACGGCGAACCCTGACAGAGAAAGTGATGGAACCGGCGTCAGGACCAGAGGATTCAATACCACGGTTGACGATCTCCGTGGAGAGGAGGTGGTGTTCTCCGGTAGGGGCCATGGTTAGAGAGAGATGAAAAGTGGGTATGGGGAAGAATAGAGAGTGGTTGAATTTAAGGGGGTTGGGAAGAGTAAATGAAGGACAACGAACTAAAGGGAGTGTAGTTGGAAGATTAGAAACTGCATTAAATTGGTACTTCAAGTTCATGATTGATGCAATGGGGTTTGGGGAAAGCTGTTTGGGAATCAAACTCAAATTTGCATGCGTATATATGCATGTACAATTACTCACAAACCCTAACAAGAAAGCTTGCGTCCGCCATGGCTCCACAACGTGCACCTCCCATGGCAGATCTTTAGGGCTCTAACCCGGCCCCTTCCACACATATTCAACAAACCATATTTTTAAAAGATACAAACTTTTATAGATGGAAAAAAAACATACTTTAGCCGTTACATGACCATCTCCATGACCATACCAGATAAAATCAACAAAATAACAATCTGTTTTTATAGATTTTCTTTATTATAGTACTGTATTTTTAGTTTTTTCTTATTACAACAATGTATTTTTAAACTATTTCAAACTATTTTCTATTAGAACATTGTACTTTGAAAATTTTACCCATTATAGTATTGGGTAATTTTTTTATTTAAATTTACTTATTATACCAGGTTTTCATGTCATCTTATCGTCTACGTATGTTGTCCACATGTATTATAGTGATGTGAATTTCTTATTACAACATTGTACTTTCAAAATTATTTTATTATAGCATCTACTAGTTCTTATTAAACAATGTACTTTTAATTTTAATATTTAGATATTTTACATGTTATTTAATAAATATATTAAATGAATTAAAAAAATTCTAAATTATTCATTAATATACCAGTATTAATAAAACTAGTAGAAGACAACTTATCTCGTTAATATTTTTTTTAAATATGTGTTTTTTGAAAAAAAGAAAATAAGAATTGTTCTTTTTTACCAAAAACTTTTAATTGACGTATAAATATATTAAATTAATTAGATTTTTTTGAATTATTTATTAATATAACAATATTAAAAAATTGTAGAACACAAGTTATTTCGTTAACATTTTAGAGGGAACTTTAATAGATATGTATCTTTTTTAAACAATATAAAATAAGAAGTGTTACATTTTTTACAAAAAAAATATCTCGAAAATAATATAGCATATTTATTTAAGAAATATTTTACTCTAAAATATTTAATTTGCAAGCAACTTATTTAGAAAAAGTCAAAAAAATTAAATGTTTTTTAAATCATAGCAATGAAAAATGAAAATCACTAATAATAATTTGAAATAAGTTTTTATTTTTATTTTCATTAAATCATCAAAATGATGTGTCATCCACATCACCTCATTAAAGCCACATAAGCAAAGAAAGTCAAGGGGTTAACAGGTTTAAAAGGTAACAGGATACCCATTGCTATAATGGGTAGATTTTTTAAAATATGATGCCTTAATAAAAAATAATTTGAAAGTACATTGATGTAATAAAAAAACAAAAATAAAATGGTATAATAAAAAAAATTATGAAAGTAGGTTATTATTTCATTTATTTAACATTTTGATGAATATGACATTTTCAAATGTCATATATGGACCCAAAGATTATTGAATAAATTAAACTATAAAATTTATATCATATACTATTTCAAAATTCTTATAATTAAAACAATAAAATATTATGAAATAATAAAGTAAAATATGAAATTCTTTACGGGATTTGAAGAGTCGTGATAATTTTGTTACCATAACTTGATTGAGATAAAGTTTAGAAGACTAATGGTAATAGAAGTACATAACTTGATTTTCTACTCCACGAATTTTGCGGCCCTATACCGTGTCCCATAATGGAACACCCTAAATAACGACCCTCAGACCAGGCTAGACTAAACCAGACCAGACCAGACCAGACTAGATAGTCGATTTTTAATAGGTTCATTTTTTAGGTGGACTAGTCCACAAAATCGATTAAAAAAACTTCAAACTAGACCATAAGTCTGAAACTAGTTATATCCTACCGCCTTGGATGGGTGTAGGCTTTTTTTTATCGGCTTGACTAGGATGTAAACCATATCTCTCTTTTTAGAGTAAACTATGATCTTCGTTACTGTGGTTTGTTGTTTATAACTATTTTTATCCTTGATTTTAAAAAATTGCCTTTCTAGTCATTATTGTTTCCATTTTATTTAGTTTTTTATCCCTGAAACTAACTATATTAAGTCTTTGTTAAGTCAAAGTCATTTTCGTCATTTAACACATTTATTGAACTTTCTACTAAAAAAGTTAACAATGTTCCTTAAAAACATTCCACATGTTTTTTATATTAAAAAATGGTGTTAAAATATATCAAGTATTTGCAAACTTGACTATCTTAACTCTTATCCTTATTTTGATAGAAAGTTAACTGAAAAAGATACAAAGTGATGATGTTGTAAAGTCAAGATGATCAAAATAGAAAAGGGACTGCGCCTCACTTCTTGGAGTTCTCGAGGGATAGCGGAGCATGAAGTATCAATCTTCAAGGACCATATTTTCAATTTTCTAGAAAAATATATAAACCCTTTATTTTCCATATCTGGCTCACAATTTTCGTATCTTGTTGCTTAGCTCTCAACTCTTTTTCTCTCTAGATTGTTCTCTCTCTACTTCGCTTTCTCAACTTTGTTAGATAAGAATACGTATTGTTCTTGTTATAGTTTAGATTTAAATATTGAGGTAGATCTCATATTCTGTGTGTTGTATTCCTTTATTAATCTTTAAATAAAATTGTTTTTCAAATATATTCTGTTTTAATATGGTATCAGAGCTAATCGGTTCGATTGTCTTAAAGAACCTCTCTGGTTTTCTATTGTGTTGAATCGAATACATGAACAATTAGGTTCTTTCGGTCCACGAGTTCGCAAGTCTCGACTACCGGTTCCCCTTTGTAATATTCGTTTGTTGTTTCATTCTATTAGTTTTTTGAAAGGTAGATGAACGAATTGGGTCGTGTGCGTTGCTAGATCTTAAAGATCTTACTAACCTCCCCATTACGTGATACTTTGTTCTTTGGTAGGTTCCCTTTCAGATCTGTGTCCTCTTCCAGATCTGGTTATTGCATGTTATTCTTGTTCAGGTTTCATCCTGAATCTTCGTTATTTTTTTTCAGATCGGAGTCCTCTTCCAGATCTATTTATTGCATGTTATCCTAGTTCAGGTTTCATCCTGAATCTTCTTACCTGTTTGTTGATTGTAGTATATTTCAAATCTACGTCCTGGTCCTGATCTGGTGTATGTTCTTTTTCTTTCAGATATGTGTCCCTCCAGATCTGGTTTTTTTAACTCTGCTTCTTATTGTATGTTTAGTTTGTTCAGGTATGTAACCTAGATCTGTTCTATACAAGTGGCTCCATTTTTTCTTTTAACGAAAGTTAAAAAGTGTTGTGGTAAGGTTCTGGTTGTTCTATACAGGTGGCTCTATTTTTTTTCTTTTAATAAAAGTTAAAGTTGTTGTGGTAACGTTCTAGTTTGTATATTCTTCTATGTTTCTCTTATTGTTTTTTCTTTCTCTATGGTTCTGTGTGGTTGGTCTTTTTTTTCTTCTCGTTGTTTTCATGGTTGGTAATTGAATAGTTAGCTTGACCTAACACGATTTCAGTGTTTTAGGAATCATGCTTATATCTATTCAGTTCCGTTTTTGTGTTTGTTCATGTCTTCTCCAACAGTTGAAATTGGAAGTCCAATGGAATCCAAAGTCACAAAATTAGACTTTGGATATCCACTGTACTTGCACCCCAGTGACACTAGTGGAGTTCTCTTTTATCATTCAAGTTAAGTGGTACATAGAACTACAGAGTCTGGTCATGCGCCATGGCCCTAGCCTTGGAAACTAAAAATAAAAGTGGCTTTATTTATGGATCCTGTTCTCATCTTATAAATGATCCTCCCTTAGAAAGACAATGGGATCGGTGTAATTCTATTGTCCTCTCTTGGATCCTGAGCTCAATGACTGAGGATCTTTTTCTAGGACAAGTGTTTTCTAACGAATACTCCCAAGTTTGAGAAGAATTAAAAGAAAAGTATGATAAAGTAGATGGATGGTCATATTCAATATTTACCAGAAAATTAACTCCTTAAGTCAAAATGACACTTCTGTTTCTAGATACTATCATAAGCTAAATTCTCTTTGGAAACAATTTGATGCTCTTGTAAAACTTCCATCATGTACTTGCAAGGCTTCCCACGATTTTTTGGAACACAGTCAATTGATTAAACTCATGCAGTTTCTTATGGGATTGAATGATGTTTACCAACCCATTAGAAGTAACATCTTAAATAGGGACCCTTTTCCTTTTGTTAAAACAACAGTCTCTCTTGTTTCAAGGGAGGAATCTCATGGGGGAGGGAATTGTCTCAAAACCGTACTAAAACTCAACATTTTGCCTTCCCTAGTAAAACAATTGACAATAGAAGAAGACTACCAAGAAACTACTCTTGTGTGTAAACATTATGAACTATAGGAAATACCATTAAAAGGTGTTTTAAACTGATAGGGTTTCTAAAGGATTTTTAAAATCGACCCAAACCTCAAAATCAAAGTTTCAAACCTTAAAATCAAAAATTTTAACCCACTACCGGTAATGTTTCTGTTACTAAACCTATCTCTCCTAAATCTTCTTTCCCCTTTTCTGAGGAGCAGGTTGTCAAAATTCTAGGCTTAATTGATCAGAAACCTACCTCTAAGGGAGCAACTACCAATATGGCAAATATGTTTAAAACTTCCCAATCAGTTGGATTATTGATTCTGGTGCTAACCAACATATGACTTCAAATTGTTCTAATATGGATAATGTTGTTGATGTTACTGATTTAAATCTTAAAGTCAGTCATCTAAATGGAACAGAAGCTAAAATTAACAACATTGGAAACCTGAAATTGTCTAATAATTAGGCTGCAACTCGCCTGCATGGCGGTGAAATGCATTTACTCTCTTTGATGTGTTAGTTGTTCCTGATTTCAATATAAATCTTTTATCTGTACACAAGCTGGCCAGAGATAATAATGTCTTTATAGGGTTTGATGAATCAAAATGTTATATTCAAGATTTTTATCAAAAGTGTATTGTGGGGACTGGTAGTCAGGAAGGCGGGCTGTATTTCTTTGATCAAAATCTTAATAGTGAGTCATCCTTCCCCCTCTAATAATCTTGGTATGGTTTGTTTTGTGTCCACCCATTTGTGGCACAGTCGCCTTGGTCACTCAGCTGACCAAGTGCTAAAAGTCCTAAAAGATCGGCTTAACATTGGTAGTGAAGTTTGTGGTCCTTGTGAGGTTTGCCATAAGGCAAAACAAACACG